CAGCTCTCATTTCAGCCCTAGTGATCGAGCAAAAACTCAGGTTCATCGAGTACGCTACTAAGCAGCGACCATCGGAATCTCTGAACAACCCTCCCGCAGCTGCTCGTCTAGTCTCGGGAATAACTGACCCGTCAGAATTTAGAGCCACCCATGCGGGTGGTGGAGGTGGCCAAGAGACATCAACCATCATTTTGGTTGGTATATCGGTATGTGTGGATTGGTTAAGTCTCAGAGCCTCTTCAATAGAATCAACCCAATGTCGGATACGCCGTTCTTATTTTTTAGGAGAGTTGTCCATTCATTTAGTAAATACTTTTAATTGGACTTTAATTTCGTAAATACTTTTTTATTTATTGTTGAGTTTTTACGTAAATATAATCAATAATGTGTTGATTTACAAAAAAGTGAATGTAACTACCAATGACGTAGGTAGTCTGGAGTAATTGTAGGGAAATCACTTTGTTATTTCAAGTAGTAGTCATATTTTTGTTGGAGAGATTTAAAGTAGTAATATTTGTGTAATTTTTTTCTTTATTGTTCGAGAAAACTCAATAATTTATAATAAAGTTTTATGCATGATATGCAATTTTATCATCTCAAATTTTCAATGCTCATGATACGGCAAAACAAAAGTCAAGGTGGTTAGAGTTAGCGGATAACGGAATAAATTGACAGGTTGTCAATAGCGGATTCAGTCAAGGAGTTTGATTAACGGAATAAATTGACGGGTTGTTAGAAGATGTTTGTAAATTTAACTGTTTGACCATAAAATTAGTAGAAAACGACATTTTTCAAAACGCCTACCCCTCATATTAGCAGCGTTTTCATTTCAGCGTTTTCATCCAAAAACGCTAGTGCCGAACCGCTATTTACCAAATAACTTTTTCACTTATTGAAAACGCTAAAAGTGGTCAAACCGTCATTTTTCGGATGAAACGACGTATACCAAACACCCTCAATAAAAAAACCTTGACCAATTCTTATCAAATTAATATCTCATATTTTGAGTCTTGTAACAAGGGGTAATTTGAACTTTCGTCCTATTCTATTGTCTAAATTAGACTTTACGTCCTATTTTTTAAAACCTTAGTATTTGCATCTCAATTCTGTATTTTTAAAAATGTCTCTCGATCAGAAATATGTTGAAGATCAACACAATTGTGATTGAGATTCAATTTATTTTGATTTTCATTTCTAAATGCCGTAGTACTTTTTTAATGCGTGAAGGCCGAAGTTTATGTAATTGTTGGCAAGTTGACAGTGAAAGAATTGACTTTAAAACAGAGCAGTCCGTAAGATACAATCTATGATATGATCGAGAGATTGGAAGGAAGTTAAAACTTTCCTTAAAGTAACAGGTAATGTTCTACTCCACAACACTCTTCGAAATTAGAAGTTAAGTCGGTCAAGAAACAAATTCCAATCTTTAAGCCACAATCTGCTAGCAAAGTCATAGGATAACTAAGGGGCATGGCATGGGCAGGAGATAAATGAAAATCCTTGAAATGAAGAAACATTCCTAGTTCCTAGCTACAAGGGTTTTCACACACCCATACATATCATATGGTTTAATTATGACGCATAGTACATTGGAATAATGTCACAAAGGTGTTGAACACACAATATATGTATATTTGGTCATCATGAATGGGGACAAATCACGTACACACAATGCTTATTGTACAAATAAGTATACCATACATCTTTACGCTATTTGTATCGCATAGGAACGTTCAAAGTGTTGCATATTATCATGTGTATTAATAAGTAAACAGTTGCATATTAACGTTCAACGTGTTGCATCTAAAAAAAAGTTTTGTTTAAATATCAAAATGTCAATGTGCATCTGAAGCCTTTAGATCAATTCATCGGATGGTCAAAATGAGTTTGTAGTTTACTAGTTTATAAATTAGGATATATTTGCATTTGATCCCTGATTGTGACATTAATAACTCAATAAATATTATTAGATGAATATATCAAAAACAGCAAACTAACCAGAAAATGATTTTATTTATAATTTGGTAATTCAACCACATTCAATTAAAGTAGGGGAAATGACAAAAATATTACCTCTACGTTTTTAGTAGATTAAGATATGACTAGTTTTTATTATTCAAAAAATGTGATAAACCTTTGTTTAATTAATATAGTTTTATTTTAAGTATAATTCCTACCCAACTGCCCACCTCGCCCCTTGCCCCCATCCCAATTGTCGGCCTCCATAAAAGTCCCATGAAAGATTAACCAGAACATTTTCCAGTTTTTCAAATGTTTATTCGAGATTCCATTCTAAAAGGTCAACCTGATATAAGTAGTCTGAAGTTTTATATAGTTTTTTGTTACTCCCTCCGTCCCGCTATGATTGCCCATTTTACCATTTCGGTCCGTCCCACTAAGATTGTCTCATACCTTATTTGGTAAAGTTTGTGCGTACTTTTATTCAATTCAATATCAACCACATAAACCCACTTTATTCCTACTTTATTCTTACTTTATTCTTACTTTATTCTTACTTTATCAATTCAATATCAACCACATAAACCCACTTTTATTAATAACCGTGCTACTTTTTCTTGTCCCAAATTTAGGGGGACGGAGGTAGTATTTTATAGCTTCGTGTGGGATAAATACTTTAATATGCAGCCCCTTCAACCCAAACCAGACTGGACAATAACGGGATGTATAAATGGTCCAAACAAACCCTTAACATGTTATCCTTAATCATGAGTGCTAGACAAACAGTCAAACCACAACCAAACTATGCTCTAATACCATGTTAAGACCCAGAGCTCCATCCTGGTCAACCTGATAGGAAGAGATTCAAGAGAAGCCTGAAGGGAAAGTGGGTCAATTAATTATATGTAAAGTATGAGGTTTTTGGTACTGTAACAGTACTGTAGCAGTACTGTAGCTGCTTTTTGGGTGAGTTTATTTCCAAAAAGGGAAATGAGATATTTATTTTGATACGTCCCAAAAGGGAAAGTGGGTCAATTAATTTGATACGGAGAGAGTATAATGTTTTATTATTTTATAGTTTTTTGGTATGAGACAAATACTTTAACAGTTTATCATAAAATCTCATAAAAAAAATCACAATGACATGTTTTACGAAGAAAGTGAAATCCGTGACAGTTATAGTGACACTATGGGCAATAACCATGACATTGGTAGTCACGGACAATGGCACCTTGTTTTTCAAAAAGCGTTCAAATTTAATATTGTAAAATTAAATGAAAAATCTCATTAATCTATTCAAGCATTTCATAGACCCTTTATAATTTTAGCAAGGTCAGATCCATGTAGGGGATGGGGTGAGCTACAACCCAGTCCAACCCAATTTTGTTTATTAGTATAGGTAAAGGTTTAAGGTTCAGCCTACCTCAAAATTAATGTTCAACTAAACCCAAGCCCACCAATTTTATAATTTTATTTAATAATTAAATTAATTTTTTAGTAGATAATAGAATAGTGTTTATTCATTACAAATTTATAATGATTAAAGATAGAACTAAAGTTTAGAGAATGATTTATTTATTATACAATTGAAAATTAGAGAATGATTTATTTATTGTTTAGACATGAAAGAAAGAATTAATCAATATCTCAATTCAGTTTTAAAATTGGGAATGCATATTAGTTTTATGTACAATGATTGTTTTTACTTATTAATTTTATACTTTTATAGAAGTATTTTAACTCATACGAATGAGTACTAGAATTTTTAATACTCATTAATAAATTTATAAAATTACACTAAAAACTTTTAAATTTTAATTAAGATGTACGGATTATATAATTTATAAGTTATCGATATGCTCGAGTCCAGATTGAACTTAACATGACTATGTTCAACTCGGCTTGAATAACTATTCGAACTCAAAATCCAGCTCATGTCCTAGTTCGAAGCTCGTTAAGCTCGGTCGTTAAATTAAATTTGAAATCATGCTCGAACTCGAGCAACTAAAAACAACTCAGTTCAATAACAGGTCTAAGTTAAACCTTTTGTGTGCAGTAACAAAAAAATTTATTGCTTAATCCACCCCGCCCCTCATTCCTGGATCTGCCCCTGAATTTTAGTGAGATAGTGTTTCGAGAGAGAAATAAGGAATCAATCATACGGTCGTACTATGACTACTATTGATATGAATGACACAAATAAGATTAACAATATTATTGATATGTATTAATAATAGCGTATTAATACATATTATTAGTACTATGTATATGTTACCTCCGTCCCAAAAAGGTTCGACAAATGGACTTTTCTTGGTCAATGACAATCAAATCCAAATATAATACGGAATAATTAAAATTAGCGCCCAAAGTTTGTCATCACTGACCAAGAAAAGTCAACATGATGAACATTTTGGGGCTAAGGTAGTACTATATATTAATAAGGAAGCCATGTATGATAATAATTAATCATCTTTGTTTATCTTCATTATAATAGAGAAATTTATAAAAAGAAGTGACATTGTTTATAATAAGGTCAATATTACAACACCATTTCTGTTGGATTTGCCACGGTAGAGAATGACAGCCCAGCACCCGCGCGACTTTGAATTCATTTACGTTTGGAACGTTTTAACAAAGCTAAGATTTGGTTTTAATGCTTCCTACTATATATTCAACTTTTAATAAATTGAAGGCCTCCTCTCCTATGCTGTGTCTATTTGGTTAGGGCTTTATACCTACAATTTTTATCACATCTCCTTTAACAAAAAGACAATTTTGAATCTCAGCTTACAAACTTAAAATTGTCCAAATTTGAAAACATCATCAAATAAATCAACTAGATATAGTTTGACAAAAACAAAACAAAAAATCATTCCCTTGTACACAACATCAATTTTAGTTTCCTTTTAGCACAATCATTAATATATCTTGGGCTATGACATTTGCATTGTGTCATACATACGAGGTCACCACAAAATCCACACTCAAAGCCCATGTATATATATAAACAACCCCTTCTTATGCAAAACCTTAAACACAAACTTCACCAAAGAAATGGCATCATTAAACTCTTGGCTTGTCGCGGTTTTCATAATCCTCCCATCTACTTCCTTTGCTTTCTTGGACTCAACCATCCCAGACAACTTTTTTAACTGCATCCGTTTGAATTCCAATTTCTCAGCCCCATTCTCCTCAGCTTTCTTCACCCCTAACGATGCCTCATTCAGCACCATTCTCGAATCCACGGCACAAAACCTTAGGTACTTGGTACCATCTGTCCCGAAACCTAAGCTAATTTTCATGCCAACGGCCGAATCACACGTCCAGGCCGCTGTTATATGCGCGAAACAACTCGGTATTCAGCTTAGACCCCGTAGCGGGGGGCACGACTATGAAGGCCTCTCGTTTGCTTCCGGAATGGAAGCACCATTTGTTATCCTTGACCTCTCCAAGCTGCGAGCAGTCAAGGTAAACGTAGAGGCCAACACCGCTTGGGTTGAGGCCGGGGCCACACTAGGGGAAGTCTATTACAGGCAAGGACTAAATACTTGTATACTCGCTTCATTTATAATCTTGTCTCTCACCATTTAAACGAACAATAAGTCCTTTTTTGGATACGTTTCATACACGATAGTAACAGAATTGTTCGAGATACCGACAAAACATGCATGCGCGTGTACAAAAAACGTGTACAAATGGCATTATTGCATTTAAATGCTGGTATCATTTATATATTCAACTATTCATTATTTTATGCATTATTGAACTTTTATCATAGGATTTCACAGAAAAGCAATACTCTAGGCTTCCCGGCCGGGCTATGTCCCAGCCTCGGAGTGGGCGGGCACATAAGCGGAGGAGGGTACGGCACCATTATGAGAAGGCACGGCCTGGCGGTTGACAATGTCGAAGACGCCCGGATTGTCGACGCCAACGGGAGGATTCGGGACCGGCAAGCCATGGGAGAGGAGCTGTTCTGGGCGATCAGGGGTGGCAGCGCCTCCAGCTTCGGGATCATACTGTCCTGGAAGCTAAGCCTGGTCCCCGTCCCCTCCACCGTCACCGTTTTCACCGTCGCGAAAACCCTCGAAGACGGCGGCACCAAAATCATGCACAAATGGCTAAACATCGCCGACAAACTCCACGATGACCTCTTCATCAGGGTTGTCACGTCGGTGGTCAACGGCACCGGAAAAGGCCAGACGACGGTCCAAACGGCCTATAACTCCGTGTTCCTGGGGTCTTCCGACCGGCTTTTGCAGATCATGGGAGAGAGTTTCCCGGAGCTGGGACTAACCAAACAAGACTGCACGGAGATGAGCTGGATCGAATCGGTCCTGTACATCGCCGGATACCCAGCAAACACCCCGCCGGAGGTTCTGCTCCAGGGGAAATCTCTGTTCAAGAACTACTTCAAAGCGAAGTCAGATTTCATCACAGAACCCATCCCGGAAACAGGGCTGGAAGGCATGTGGAAGAAGCTCCGGGAAGAAGACTCGCCGCTGGTGATATGGAATCCGTTCGGCGGGATGATGGGGAAAATCCCAGAATGGCAGACCCCATTCCCGCACAGGAAAGGTGTCATCTGCATGATGCAGTATCTGACTCTCTGGAACGACCCTTCGAAGGAATCTGAGAAGAAGCACATGGACTGGATGCGAGGCCTGCACGATTACATGGCGGATTATGCATCCAAATTCCCCAGAGAGGCGTATGTGAATTACAGGGATCTGGATCTGGGGACGAACAAGAGCGGGAATGCCACCTTTGATCAGGCTATGTCTTGGGGTTACAAGTACTATAAGGACAACTTTCTGAGGCTGGTTCTTGCGAAGACCAAATTTGACCCCGACAACTTCTTCCAACATGAGCAGAGCATCCCTCTGCTTCCTCTGTCCATGGGGAATCCTCCATTCATGATAGGGGAGCAGACAATGGCCCATTGATTGATATGCCAAAGTGTAGATTTGTTGTTTAATACAGTGGTAGCTTATATTCATTCCGTCTAATAATCCCTCTGCTCGGAGACTGTATTCATACTCCGCATATCAATGGGAATGTTTAAAATTGTTATCTGGATAACTGTTAACTTAGGTCATGTGCATATGCAGTACGAGTAAAAGCTTGTATAAAACCATGTTTAATTTAGATGAATATGTTAATTTTAATTATAAAGATAATTTGTTCTATAGAAACTAATTCTCTAAAACTTGGTTATTGAAAGTTTTAGGAGTTTATCTGAGCAAGCTAGTGTTCCAATAAATTAGATGAGCCTAGAATTAAACGTTAATAAAGGAAGGGGCAATTAGAGGTGGGTTCCATTATTTCTATTCCCTTTTTTACCAAAAACCAAATCCGGAATCAATGTAGAAAGTTTGATTTGGTTTTGGTCCGGTTTTACATTTCAAAACATTGGTTTGATTTTGTTTTAGTTCGATATCGTTTTTTCAGTTTTTTTACTAAAAAAATGTCGTTTAATTTAAAATAATACTCCCTCCGGTTTTTAATAAACTTCACACTTTCCTTTTTGGGACGGTCTAAAATAAACTTCACACTTCCTTATTTCCTTTTTTGACAAAGAAATCTACATCAAAACAGTGTCAAACAGTGTCTCAACAGTGCCAAACAGTGTCTCTACAGTGCCAAACAGTGTCAAACAGTGTCTCAACAGTGTATTCTACAGTAAAGTCAAATTTCTTTCCTTATTTTGTGTGAAGTCAAACTGTGAAGATTAAAAAAAACCGGAGGTAGTACAATAATAGCAGGATCAAACATATATTACATAAAAATGCAAGCATACTATAACAAATAAAGTAAAATAAAAAGACAAGAAAAAACATGTCTTCAACTATATGAGTAAGTGAGAGAGATAATACACTTTTTTCAATTAAGATGGATATATATTTATATGTTTTATCAAGACAAAAACTTTAAATTACATAGAAGTAGAAGTTACTAGTGATAACTACTAAAAACATATCACCTACATTTTTAGTAATAGATGAATATAGCTTTATTTTAAGGAAGCGGTCCAGCATAGCTGGTCGCCGACTCACTCTTCCTTACAGGAGGTCTCGGGTTTGAAACTCACTGGAGTGACTTTCAGCCTAAATTACTCTAGGCTTCCCAGACGCCCCCTGGCGTAAAAAATATATTAAAAAAGCTACATTTTTTTAGGCAGTGCATATGTAAATGCATTTATATACTAGCTAAACCAAACATAGAAAAAAAAATAAACATTTAAATAAAAAACTATCGATGATATTAGGATTAATGTTTATGTTTAACAATTAACAAATAAAAATTCCTATTTTAGTTAGTTTGATTTATTCGGTTCGGTTTGGTTTTGAAGGATAAAAACCAAAACCAAACCAAACAACCATTCAGCGGTTCCGGATTTAGTTTTTTATTAGCGGTTCGATTTAAATTGGTTGCGATCCGGTTTATTTTGATTCGATTTTTGGATTTTGATTTTTTGTGCCCAAGGGGCAATTTCCTAATTAGGAGTAACTAAAAGTAAGATTCAACAATATGAGCATAAAATTTAAATTCCCAACATAATGAAATAGGAATAAGTCTTCCTATCCTACCCTTTCCCTTGTCATGTTTTAGTAGGTTTTTTAAATAATACTACGGGTCAGCCCCTGCTTCAGCCAACTTCCGGCACAACCACCTCAAGTCGTTGGAAAAAAAAATTGTCATCTTTAACAAATTTCATCGTGATAATAGTTTTGAAAATAAAATTTGATATTGTCAAAGAGTGATAAAGCAATATGCATGACATTTTCATATTCATGATGTTGGTTTGCACAAGATGACGTTTTTCGATGATCGGAGGTGACGGTGCTGAGGGGTCAAAGATGGAGCGGTAGAGGCCTACATATTTTTTTTTAATTTTTTAAGTATTTAATTTTGAATATTTTGATTTTTTTTTAAAGATTCTAATACTCGTATTAAAAAACGTTAATGCCTGCTTGAGTTGACTCCGAGCAGGTATAGTATTTGATTTTATCCTTCCAATTGATATGAGTAGCTTAATCGGGTTTGGAGTGAAAGTTTGAAAGGACAGTCAATTATCAAAGCATTTGGTCGAGCCTCGAGTAGGGGGTGGTGCTATAGAGTCATAGAGATGTTGAAGTATTAACTTTGGAAGTAGAACTTAGTGACGAAATGTGATGGAAAACATTTGGGCACGTTAAAAAATGCCGATTTGTGGTGACAAAAGATAGTAGATATTTTTAATTAGATTAATTTTAATGGTAAACACTAGATCATGTCGGATCATACAATATCATGCATAATTGTGAAATGCACATAAAACGGAATCATCTGGTTCATAAATCATTTCGATATGTATGGGCATGCATCGATGACTGAATGATAATGAAATCTTGAGCGGAGTGATTCCTCCGCCATTATGATATGACGATAAGGATTTATGGCCGGCGCGGTTCCTCCACTAACTTGGGCTTAGTGGATTAGAAATGCTGTGCTAAATACATTCGGTGATGATCAATGAGTTATGAACCATTCTTATGTGCACATAACTATCTATACTGCAGTTTTGTATTTAGCCTTTCTGATATATTATCCTCCCTTTCTTTTTAATCGCAACATGAATTTTACACTATTCACAAACTCTACTTTGAATACATTTTACACTATTATTTTATGATAATTATTTTTTAAAAAAATATTGTTCAATTCATCTCATTACAAATTTTCAAAAAGTGATTTTTGATTATTTTATAAAAATAGAGAATAAGATATATTTACGGTCAAAGATGTGTGTTGGCATATGTGAAATGTTGACCGTTGCAACTAAAAAAGAATTATTAGTTCCAAATGGTTGACTTGTGCCATATGCGCATACTTTTAGTGGATGATTGAGATTGTTTTACACCCATTTCAAATGAGGACGTGTTCCAATAGACGGCTTGTTGGTCCCTATTTCTACTCTATAATGTATAAGATCTGATTAATAGGAGTAGAAGAAGCTTTCCATTGATAGCCAGAAAGTTTACATAAAGATGAAGAACATGTAGCGTAAAACTTCTGTAGGCTTCTAGTCTATGCGCAGGGAATTTTTCTAAGGGAGGAAAGCTTAACCTAGCCATTCCTAAGGGGTCTATTTATAGCCTCCTTAGAATGGTAGGTTTTACAATGATATGGGCTCTCCTTTTTAGGAGGCCCATTCCTAATTTAGCTTAGTAGCCTTTTCCATTTAAGGCCTATTAAATACACAATAAATACTACCAAGAGGCCAGATAAAATACATTGATCACAACACTAAAAATATCTCTAACATTCTCCCCCTTTGTGATCAGATGTCCGTTGTTGGCTCTTGTGGATTCTTCTGCCTCTTGTAGTAGTTGTTTTGCAGTGCTAGAGCATGTTCATATTGGCGCAACATTCTCCTCTTTTCGAGTCGAGCGTTGATTGCTTCTAGCACCGCCTTCATTCGGTCATATTCTTTCAGTTCAGCTTCTTTTGTCTTCTTGGAAATGCTTCATGAAGAAATCCTTACAATCTCCCCTTTGGTGTTATTCATTCAATTCGTTCTTTGATGTCGGGGTTGAGGGATTCTTCAAAATCTTGCTTTTAATCCTTGCCTTTCAGAAGTTTCTATTGATCAGCTTGAATGAATCTGATGGCGCCTTTAGAATGATTGTTCTGAAGAAATCTAGGCGCATAAGGGATTCGTCTTCAGTATTTGATCACCCGACCTCTGTATCCTCCAGAATGTAGCCTTTTCTGACTATTCAGTTGTGAATGCTTTTGAGGAGCAGTTGTCGGTGGCACAGCGGAAAATGATGGTTGGCTTGTGAGCAGGGCTGACCTGTAGATTTGAAGCTGACTTGGCAGTTGATGAATCTGAAGGAGTAGAGAGCCATCGTTTTTGGGCTGGAGGAGAGAAGTGTCCGAGAATGATTTTTGAGTGTAGGCAGCATGTGAACCACTCTCCCCCTCATGACGATCCCATGAATCGAGATGTCATGCCTTTATTCTTTTATTCTGGAAAAAGAAATTGGAAGAAAAATTAAAAGATAAGAATCGGAGACACTGGGGTGTTCCGTTAACACACCATCAAAGTAAACATTGATGTGTGGCCTGTATATAATGATAGAAACATTGTAGCTCTAACAGGACTTCCAACCAATCATTGTGAAACATCTGAAGTAGATGTCACTCTGGTTGTTATGGCATGATCACTAGGATCAGCCTAGATAATTGTAGCCCCCCGGGATCATGTAGACACCCGTTATCATCACTATAGAGATGAACTCTAAATGATGGCCTGAAAATGTTGGTGATTTCTATGTTGCAACATCAGGACTTCCATCCAATCATCGGTCTGCATCTATAGAAGATGAGCCTATGGAAGTTCTCGCATGGTCACTTGGACCTGCAACTGACTCTAAAAATGTGTCTGTGTCCTAGAAAATTCAAAACATTTAGGAGTGAGATAACTAGACACAACGTGATCAATGAAAGTTCAGTGGCATGGGGCTGAGGGCCACTGTAGTCAGTATCAGTCGCCTCAGAAGGAGACAGTGATAAGAGATGAGGTTCCCCGTGAACAGTGATTAAACACCTATCTGTTGGGAGACAGGTGAGTGGTCTAGGGTAGGGTTGTGCACGCGCTGTTTGGACAAAATGCAGCGACTTCTACCCGGGATCTGAATAAATTCAGTCCTGAACCTATGGGGATTGTCCGGAGTATTTGAGTGACTGGGATTGATTCCTCGATTGATAGCTCATTTGAGGTAGCAGATTTGTCATTGATTATTGTCTTCTTGCTCATCGGAGCCTTCTGCTTCCTCACTCTCATAATATTCACTCAGTTACTCACTCACTCTCGGCTTTGTCCCTTGGGTAGGCTTAGTTGGGTTTACTAAGCCATTAGGACATCTCTCTCATTGATATGTTTCTTTATTCTCTCTCTGTACTCCCCCTCAACTAGAGCACTGAGTAGGATGTCTTTGACGATGTTTGGCGCTTGGGAGGAGAACTTTGAAAACTCCCCCTTAAAATTTGCATCCTTGAGAGAATTCTTGCATTTAATCTAGGTTGTTTGAGGGTTCAAGTTTGGGGTTGTTGGCTAGATGAAGCACCATGCTCGAGTATCCGTTGCCTCTTATTCTCCCCCTCATGAGGAGCCGAATCATTGGAGTCCTCATGCAAATGTTTGTGACCGCGGAGACT